AGCAATTAAATTTATGTGATCTGTTGATAATAGAAAGCAACAGATGATGTGGTTTTTAAACTTGTCAACTGAATTCTTACTAAGTGATAGTAATCTATAAAGGCTATAGGAAATTTGAATCGAGAGAGAGCAGCAGGACCCGATAGATTGACTCCTGAGATATTTAAGGATGGTGGTCCAGTTTTAGCAGCTTGATTGACTGAAATCTCAAGTAGAATCCGGCAACTGGACGTAATCCCATCCGACTGGTCTCCATTCCTGATTGTCCCAATTTGTAAGAAAAAAAATTCTTCTTGTGACAATCACAGGGGAATAAGTCTAACTAATATAGTTTCTAAATTGTTAGCCTCGATAATACTTAGACGCCTAACTAGAGTTCGTGAAGAGCAGACTCGAGAAAACCAGTCTGGTTTTCGACCTGGACGTGGTTGTATAGACCACATCTTCACACTACGACAGGTCCTGGAACACAGATACACATTTAGACGTCCGACAATAGTCGTGTTCCTGGACCTTAAGGCGGCATTCGACTCAGTGGATCGTGAGGTTCTGTGGCAGTGTCTGTCATTGAAAGGTGTACCAAAGAAGTACATTAACCTTATACAAGCACTCTACTCGAACACCACTGGTCGGGTGAGAGCATATGGCGAACTGTCATCTGAATTCTCTACATCAAGTGGTGTCCGTCAGGGCCGTCCACTCTCTCCATTCTTGTTTAACTTTGTCGTAGACATCCTCTTAGAGTTAACATTAAGCTCGTCAGATTTCTCAGGGGTTGATCTTCTACCAGGAAAGTCGCTTACTGATCTAGAATATGCCGATGACATTGTCCTACTTGGTGAAAATGCTGACAAAGTGCAGAGTCTTCTGACTACCCTGAGCAGCAATGCACACATGTTCGGGATGCGGTTTTCCCCTTTGAAATGTCAAAAGTTGCTACAAGATTGGGTCGCTCAGGTACCTGAACTAGTGATAGGGAGAGAAGTAGTTGAGTGTGCAGACCGCTTCACTTACTTTGGGAGTCTCATCAGTGCCGATGGCCTGGTGACAGACGAAATCTCAGCACGGATGATACAGAAAGCTTGATTAGCTTTTGCCAAGTGCGTCACCTATGGCGCAGACGAGAAATCCACCTGCTAACCGAAGGACGAGTGTACTGTGTAGCAGTTCGCTCCGTCCTACTATACGGATGCAAAACATGACCATTAAGAGTAGAGGACTTTTCGATCATCGGTGTTTCCTAAACACTGCTCGTGTTTCGTGGGACAACGGTAAATCAATACTGTAGTTAGGAAACGAGTACTAGGTAAGGATGGCAAATCAATAGATGAAGTATTGAAACTTCATCAGTTGAGGTGGTTGGGACATGTGATACGTATGCCTAACCACCGACTGCCTCGACGAGCTATGTTTTGTGGTGTAGGAGTAGGTTGGAAGAAAGCTAGGGGCGGTCAAACCAAAACATGGGAGAAATCCATGAAGTCACTGACAAGTGGACTGAGTCATGTTGGTAGATGTAGGCTATCTGGTTGGGGTCCGCGAGACGAAAATCCCCAGTGGTTAGAGACCTTGAATGACATGTCTCAGAATCGTTTGCAATGGCGCAGGTGCATCCACTGTTTGTGTTGTCTCTAATTCTGAACTGCTGAATTAATCATAATCTCTATCTTTCTCCTTCTAAATTTATCTCACTGAATTATACTTCTCGAATCATATCTTCGCTCCCTAATCTTCTCCATTACTGCTAATATTTCTACTATCACTATCACTCTTGGATTTGAACTGACAGTTGCGTCTCTGTGGTGATGTGGTATGGCAACCTGAACTGATGTACTTACATACGAAGTTCTACGTTGTGTCTGTCTGTCTGATAGTAATCTATGATGAGCTTTTGAATGAAGTTTAGATTCATTTGCCTATTTATTTGTTTTACCTTGTATAAACATTTAAATCCCTGTTTAATGACATCAGCAATAGCGATAGAAGTAACTGTAGCAGTATTAATACGTTTTGAATGAGATCATTTTATTCACATCAATATAGAGTTGAGTCATTTAAGCTGTTCAATATAATTACTATTGTGATTTTAAGATCTACCATTATCTTCCTTTTTTATCAAATATTCCTTTATGCAACAAGAAATCATCTAAATAACTATTTTTAACTAATTCCAACCCGTAGTATTCATCTCAGAAATCCTCTCGGTACACCATGTGACCAAATATTTCCGATCCAAGTATATTCAGTGCTTTCTTTACCTGTCTTGTCTTGTAAGCATTTATATTGATGGAATTTATTATGTTTGTGTGTAGAGTATATCTTTATATTTTATTAAGCCTTTGCCATTGAAATTCAAATATCACATGTTTCGTCTACGAATTAGGTTCGGCATAGTACTACGGTAGTTGCTTATTACATAATAACAGAGATTCTTCTAATCAGAACACTACAAATGAGAATGTTTTAAAACTACAAAATAATAATTCACACTCTAACTTAAGGTGGAAATGATAGGATTTTAAATATAACTTTATATTCCAAACAGAAGTTGAATACTGGAATGAAACAACTCTGTTTATATAGTTAGGTTCAATGGATTTTGGATATACCAGATTAGTAAACTAGAAATGAAAACAGTTAACTGAATAATAACAAAATTTTTCAGGGAAATATGAATTAGAAACCTGTTAATAAAGCTATTTCGATGCACTTAATATGTTACTTCTTCATCCTATGCTTTGACAATTCCACAAGTCATATATCTTCATTGTAACACTCTTGATAATTCATTACGATAAAAGATTATTATGAAATTGTATTGATTGATTATATAACCTCATTCAAAGTAGACCAAAACAGTTGTGGAGATGTTATTATTTGTCATGCAGGATTTTTGAACTAATGAATCGATCAATGTAAGGCAACCATTAGAAACATGGAGACACTGGACGACGATTTTGTCCTGCTATGAGACTTATTAGCAATGTGCATTCACGACTCCCGCTACTTGTGGGGATTGAAACCGGGACCTTCGGTCTTGCGCGCGAACCTTTAGTCTCTGGATCTTTTGAGCCGGCATCTAACGGTATTAGTGTCTAGCTTCTATCAATCCAAAGTCTTCGGTGGGCACTGCTTTACATTTGAACAAGGTGGAACTACACCGAGTCCCATACCAGGACGAAACGGTCGTCCAGTGCTTTCAGGTTTCTTATGGTGGTCTAACACTGACCGATCCATGATTTCAACAATCCCACAACCCCATAATAAAAAGTAAGATTTTGTAGTATACAAACAACCTACTGTCTTTTGTAACATAATCAAACAAAAATGAAAACGTTGAGTTTTATTTATTTTACTGAAACAGATTTTCAATACATTTACCTTCAGTCTAGTGATTTTTCATTTATAAATGCAATGGCATATGAACACTGAATTCATCAAGGCATGAAAGATTTTTGTTTGATTATGATTATGAATTGATCTAAGTTAGACAACCATTATAAATATGAAAGCTTTAAATGGCTGTTACATTTTCAGTAGTGCGTATCAACGAACTCGCAATCAGTAGTTGAACTCAGGACATTTGTTTTTATTTGTGAACCCTTAACCTCTAAACCACTGGGCTGCGATCCAATGGTGTACAAGTCTAACTTCAATCAATGCATGATGTTATATGGAGTTTTATTTAATCTGATTATTGATTTACTTTATTAACATTAATTATTCTAGATTCTTCCAAGTCGATGAATGTGATGGAAAATGCAGTCATCGGTTTTTCAATGTACTATATATTTTCAGTTTGTTCCACTGACAATCAAAGAGTTGGTTATGAGTTCAAGACAAAATAAAAAAACAGCTATCCACTTCCAGTTCTCTTTTTTCATCAATACTCCGGCTAGTTTCAGTTGGTACTAAAAATTTTAAATTATAATAAAAATGTAACTAATTAACCTATGTGTTTATTAGTGAGCTATCTCTCGGTCAAATATTGTACTTTTCTGCTTTTGTTGTTGTCAATAGATCATTTTTTGTTTGCTTTGAATATTCTATCACTTATTGATTGATTCAATTTCATAAGCAGTTAGGCTGATACATCACTTTATCCATCTAACTAATTATCGATAAGTCTTCATTGAATAGACAGTTAGTTTTATTTCACGTACACTTTACACACACACACACACACACGCAAATGCACCCACTAGGCACAAACAAAAATAATTAGTCCATTTAAAATATAAAATCCTTTGATAAATTACTATTAAACAATGTTAACATATAAATGTACATACACTTACACATTGGTGCACAATGAGTCCATTTATCTATCTTACTCTATTATTAAATGCACAATTTCTATGCTCTAAACACATTGAACACAAATACTTGCGTTGTTGTATACACCTATACATCGATTGTATGTTTGTCTTTATTTTTCTATTTTAAAAATGACCTCAAATAGACCTATTAGGTATTCAGATTTAGCCAACACTAAGAAAAAACCTCTACACAATATGCAAATTATGATTAATGTCTAGAATGATATAAATATGTATTTATGAGAGCACTGCATTGAATTAGAATAATTTTTTTTGTTGACAATAAGAAAATTCTAAATTTCAGATTTGATATTTTTCTGAAATTTCAACGTTAGAATGCTGGAAGAATTTATCAAAGCATATATTCATATTTGTTCTGATGGTGATCTAGTTGCTGATCGTCAAGAACTAGTGGATTATTGTAAGAAAAAAAATCTTGATCAAACGTTGGTTGAGGTAAATACTATGAAATATATATATTTATATCTATATGTATGCATACACTTAGTCACATAACACTGAGCTTACTTCTTTGTATTGACAATATCATCTTCCAGCTTAATGTTGTCCACTTAAAGTTTTGAATAACACCAGAATATGTTATAATTACAATGAGCAGAATGTTGTTTGATAGATGATGATAAAGAATAATACTAACAGTTACTTCAACAGATCGAATTCCTAATGTGTAACTTCTTCACCTTGTAAAGTCACATAATAACGAATGTTATCAATTATCATCCCGATTCCCGATAGCTGTTGAATACACATAGTGTAGTAATGAATTAATCCATCACTGATTGTGAGTGAGATCAGATTATAAAAGTTAACATTTTGGCAGACAGCTGATTTTCATCAATCCAATTTAACAACAGAATGGGTAATCAGTTATACCTGTCGAGATTTGTAACAGTTGGAATATAACAGAAATGTAATCAAGTCAGTAATAATAATAAAGTGTTATTTAGAAAATTAAACAAAGTTTCCAGTAAAATAACCATTGAATATTATTATTTTCATTCTGTTTCTTGTTTCACAGAACTGGATCAATCTTTTTGATGTTGACAAAGATGACCAGATAACAATGGAAGAATTTTGCCGAGCATTAGGCTTAGATCAATCAGAAATGTAAGTAGCTTATGAAAGCGCAGTTATAGTTTGATTTGATGTTTATTTTAAAAATTCATATATATATATATATATATATATATAAACACACTACGGTTGTGTTGTGATTGTTATGACTATGCTTAAAGTAAAAGATTATTGCATTTGCGTATTGTGAGTGCACACGGTTGAGTGGTTACATCCTGGAAGAAATAGTTATTCAATAGTTCCTGGCTTCTAATGGATTTTTCATGAAGGTCATTCCTTGATGTAAAACTACTTTATGTAAGTAAAGTGTTAGTGATTCTATGCATAGGTTCAAAGGTATATTGAGAATTTCCTAATTTAATCGTATAATAATAATGATAATAATAATAATAATAATAACGGTCATCTAACATTTTGAAAAATCCATCATACAGTTTAAAAGAAGGCTTTTAAATATTTCCTCCAATTCGTTACTTTCAATATGAAATAAAATTTAATTGTATAAAACATTGTCATATTATTTTTTAAATTATGCACACCACTTTTTCAATCGTCAGTCACTTCACATTTTAAGATTTCTTGTCATTTGGCGGTGATATGTTGTCTGGCATTAAATGGGAAAGGTAGTTCTAATAAATAATTGACATTTTATTGAAGATATTTTTATACATGAAAAAATGAATTCTTCATATACATATTAGAAAGTCGGTTAAGTTAACAAACATATACTTCTCGATGCTATCAGTCATGCTGTACAAATGCAAATTTGTACAAATTTGTGTAATTAAATTTGTCAGGTAAAAAATATTTAATAAATATGAATTTTGTAAGCGTCAAAATTACTGTCTCATCACTAATATTATTCGATACAACTTAATCTATTGATAAATTTAAACAAAACCAACAATATAAAATGTATCGAATGAAATGAATTCCTTATATCTTGATGCTTCTCGTCGTTTGTAAATGGCTTAAAGTTGCAACATGGTGCTATTAGTGTAGATAGAGTATATCATACCTTATTTAATAAAGTTGAATGACAAACAATATAGAAGAACACTCGAAAATTAGGAGAAGGTAAAACATATTTAACGTATGAATTATTAACTATTGGAAATGAAGTTATATGAAGAAGAAGAAAAAGAAGAGGATTTTAATCGTGATTATGATGTAATTGTATCAGGGATTGTTTGTAGCCTGAGTGAATTTGTAGCACGATATCGTATTCAGTGTTGTGAAGAAGCTTTACAGTTGTGAATCCAAAACTTGAATAGTTCTTATAAATTGCACTCAAATGCCTTGGTACGGCTGTGCGTGAAAAGAGTTGCTTTATGGATTAAACTTTTAGGTCAAAGGGTCAGGGTGTTGTCCCTTTAGAAAACCACCTGTTTTGATTTGGGCCCACTCACAAATATGTAGGTACCCCTTTGTACCAAAGTTTAAGAAATAACAACTGTATCACTTAATAATCATAGCAAGCGCAAACAATCATAGTGTGATCGCTGCGATTCGCGAATCGTTACATATAGTAGTTACAAATTTACTTTATATAGTAATAAAGAAATACTTGTTTTCACATATGGAACTTTTTTATTGTTTTAACCAGATTTTAATCAGATCTATTACTTTTCATGAACAAACTTATTAATAGCAATCATTAATGCCAACATTTTTAGATTTCGGTTAAGTAGTCATTAAGGTTAGAAATTGTATCATTGGATTACTGGCCCTAACATTTGCGAGTGGACGTTTGCATATCAATTTTTCATTGTTATTGTAGAATTTAAAAGTTACAATACATTGTTTTAAATCTATTTATATAATTAATTAATTAATTTATTTATTTATTTATTTATTTATTTAAAGGTATACAGAAAAAGTTCAACGTAGCAAAGTCAATGTTGCTAACACACCAAAAGTTTCAGCTGACTTTGAAATAATTCTGTCAAAAATGTCACCACAAGCTGAATATGATATTACTGAACGTGTTCGTGAACTTGTAGGTGACATAAAAGCATTGAAAGAGTCGGAAATCACTGGATTATCAGATAAAATTAAAAAATACTTAGATGAAACCTACGGTCGTGTATGGCAAGTACTCATAATACGTGGATCATATTGGATGAATTTTTCACATGAACCATTTAAATCATTTCAATTCAAATATGGACAATATATTTTTTTATTATGGAGAACACCATGCGGTTAAAATATATTTCAACATTGTTATCAATACAGTAAAACAAATAATGGCACAAAAATAAAATTGAGAAAAAAATTGAACTTAGCGGTTTATGTTATTTAGTTATTTACTATGTTCAACAATTATGATGTTTGTTATTTTGAATTATGTAATCTTGTATCACAAAGAAATATATATATATTTTTAATTTAATAGAAAGAATCCTTTTATATTTCTTAATAATGTGCAATTACAGTTGGTTATAAGTGTTTTAGCGAAACTATAACTATTCGAAAACTTTAGAATTTGATAATTAGGGAGGGTCCAGAACGAATAAAGTTTATGGAAATTGTTCAGTTTGTACGTTATATCAAGGACAAATATGAAGTAGAATGAAATATATGTCCAATTAAGTAACTGTAGCTAATCGCTTATGTACACAGCAGGTTCTGAAGGTTGTTTATTTAAGACGATAGATTCTGTAGGGAAAACTTTTAGTTGAGTGCACCAGCGCATATTTAATAATGATTAGTTCTAATGGTGAACATTTTTAGTGTAATTCCTGATGTAGATACACCTTTCGTGTTACACTCATAGTTCTGAGTACGATATTTAGGCATTAATAAGAACAGCTGAATAAAAAATTTGTGATATTATGTCACAGATGGTTGAAGGCAGCCAGCAGCAAACCTTGGATCATAAACTTTATGCCACTTATCATGACTGTGTATCCTCAATCTAGAGTTAGCTGAAACTTTCCATGTTTCAAATCCACGTTATTGGACACTGAACTATTCAGGCAGAAAATCACTACCTTAGTACTGTCAATATTTGACGCTAGACCCTGTTTGTACGAAGAGATCTGAAATGTAATATTTTAAAACTAGATCATTAACTCAAGTTATCAGCATAATTGTTTTCGATCATGTTGGACCACTCACGTGAATAATTCCGATGTAGACTACACTGTACTATAGAATTGTGATAAATCCGCTAACAAACAAAGTTAACGTTATAAACTGTAGTAGATATAATGCATGCAAAATGCATACAACTGAAAGACATGCAAATTGTATCAGTTTATAATGTCATTAATTGTTAGTTCGAGTCATGTAGACAACAGTAAGCATCGTGATTGAAATTAGATCAAAGGAATTTGTCATTCGAAGTTCATTTTCAGATTACATTAATGCTTATTTTTACAGAGGTATTGGTGAATGATGTAAGGTCCTCTTTGAGGAAACGGTGACTTATAATGTTACTACACATGCACCAAATCATAGACATTTATGTGACCTGTGCAATTCCGCTAAATAGTATCATTGGAGTAGTAGCAATGCATTCGTTTAGATATTACAGAGATGTAGGCTTTGAAAAAATATTCGTAGGATGCTATGCATTGATTAGAAAAGATAATAATAACTAACTTCACCTTAATTAATATTCTCAAGAGTACATAAATTGAAATTAATAAGAATAGATTTTTTTCAACTGAACTTACTTCGATTTCAACAACCTTTGACTAACCCTAATTCATTAACAAAAAAATAAGAAATATATGTGTTTTATGTTTTTTTTATTAAAAATTATTCACTACTACTGTTCATTGTCGGATTAATTTAATAGAAAAGTTCAAGTGTCTCCTATAATTATCACATTGAATTTTCTTAACAAGTTTAAATTCGTTTTGAGCTTACCTCAACACTGATGGTATGATTTAATTTTAAAGTGTATGAAACTACAACTATTCAAATATTAACTTCATCATTTGAAAATAATTTATTTATTCTTTTTATTTATTTAAAATTTATTTATTTAAAATTTTACATTAAAAACAAAGAAAATATATCAATAATAATATTTACTTACTTACTTACGCCTCTTACCCCCAATCGAGCAAAGGCCGCCCACCAGTTTTCTCCAACCAACTCTGTCCTGGGCTTCCCTCTCCAGTTCTGTCCAATGTTTGTTCATTCCTCTAATATCTTTCTCTATTTCTCTGCGTAGTGTGTTCCTTGGCATTCCTCTTTTACTTTTGCCTTGAGGGTTCCATGTGAGGGCTTGTCTTGTGACGCAGTTAGGTGCTTTTCGTAGTGTGTGTCCAATCCACTTCCACCGCTTCTTCCTGATTTCCTCATCCACTGGAATCTGGTTTGTTCTCTCCTACAGTAAGTTGTTGCTGATGGTGTCTGGCCAACGAATACGAAGCATTTTGCGTAGACAGCTGCTAATAAACACTTGTATCTTCTGAATGATGGCTTTCGCAGTTCTGCAAGTTTCCGCTCCATACAGTAGAACTGTCTTGACATTTGTATTGAAAATTCTGATTTTGGTTTTGGTTGAAAGTTGTTTGGAGTTCCAGATATTTTTCAACTGTAGAAATGCAGCCCTCGCTTTGCCAATCCGCGCCCTCACATCTGCATCGGATCCACCTTGGTTGTCGATGATGCTGTCCAGATATGTAAAGGTGTTAACGTCCTCCAAGGCATCTCCATCAAGAGTGATTTGGTTGGTGCATGTTGTGTTGCATCGGAGAATTTTGCTATTTCCTTTATATATGTTGAGACCTACTGCTGCAGAGGCTGCTGCTATACTGGTCGTCTTCTCTTGCATTTGTTGTTGCGTGTGCGATGGAAGAGCCAAGTCATCTGCGAAGTCCAGATCGTCCAGCTGCGTCCTAACTGTCCAGTTGATACCGTGCTTCCCTCCAGACGTCGACGTCTTCATAATCCAGTCGATCACCAGGAGAAAGAGAAAGGGTGAGAGTAAGCAACCTTGCCTGACACTGGTCTTCACCTCGAAAGAGTCTGTCAGTTGTCCTCCGTGCACGATTTTGCAGTTGAATCCATCATAAGAATTCCGTATGATGTTGACTATTTTCTCAGGCACCCCGTAGTGTCGAAGAAGCCTCCACAGTGTTTTCCTATCCACGCTATCGAATGCTTTCTCGTAGTCGATGAGGTTGATGTAGAGTGGTGAGTTCCATTCAATTGATTGTTCCAGAATGATCCGTAATATAGCAATTTGACCAGTACACGATCGATCCTTACGAAATCCAGTTTGTTGATCTCGAAGTTGGGCGTCTACGAAGTCCTTCACTCTGTTTAACAATACCCTGTTGAAGACTTTGCCTGGTATTGAAAGAAGAGTGATGCCTCTGTAGTTCTCACACTTGCTGAGATCGTCTTTCTTTGATATTTTGATGAGGTATCCTTCTTTCCAATCTGATGATACTTGTTCCTCATCCCAAATCTTCTAGAAGAGAAGAGAGATACTTTCGCAGTTGCTTCCACATCTGCTTTCATTGCCTCTGCTGGAATGTTTTCTGGTCCTGCTGCTTTGCCGCTCTTGATTTGTCTGTTGGCCATACTGATCTCTTCAATTGTAGGTGGAGCAACATCGATTGGGAGGTCCGTGGATGCTGCTTCGATGTTGGGTGGATTCAGTGGAGCTGGTTGATTCAGGAGTTCCTTAAAGTGCTCTACCCATCTATTTCGTTGTTCTTTAGTGTTGCTGATTACTTTGCCTTCCTTGCTTTTCACTGGTCGTTCTGCTTTACGATAGTTCCCAACGAGCTTCTTTGTTGTTTCGTACAATTGTCTCAAGTTTCCGTCTCTTGCAGCCTTTTCCTCCGTCATTGCTAGATCTTCCACATATTTTCGTTTGTCAGCTCTGATGCTCTTCTTCACTACCCTGTTTGCTTCTGTGTATGCAGCTTGTGCGGTAACTTTCTCCGCTCTTGTTCGGCTGACATTGATTACTGCCTTCTTGTTCCTCCTTTCTTCAATTTCTGAAAGAGTATCAACAGACATCCAATCCTTGTGATGGTACTTCTTGTGACCCAGAACTTCATGACATATTGAAATGATTGCCTCCTCGATCCCTTTCCAATTGTTCTCCAATGTTGCGTCCTCTCTATTGAGTAGATCCTGAAAGGCCTGGAACCTATTGGTGAGGGCTATCCTGAATTCGTTGGGCTTTACAGTATCCCGAAGAAAGGTTGTATTAGACTTGTGTGATGTTATCTGTCCAGTTATCCAGTGCTTCTTCATTTTGGCGATCAGCAAATGGTGATCTGAGGCTATATCAGCTCCTATCTTGGTTCTCACATCCTCCATAGTCCTTCTGAACGTTTTGTTGATACAGATATGATCAATCTGGTTTTGAGTAGTGTGATCCGGTGAAATCCATGTGGCTTTGTGAATGAGTTTGTGTGGGAATATTGTGCCACCGATGACCAGCTTGTTGAAGGCACATAGGTTTGCAAATCTCTCACCATTTTCGTTTCTTTCTCCCGATGCATGTCGCCCGATGATGTCTTCATATCCAGTGTTTTCCATGCCAACCTTGGCATTCAGGTCTCCCATGAAGATGGTCGAATTCTTCGATGAGCATCTGTTGACGATTGACTGCAGCTTTTCGTAGAATTGATCTTTAACGTCGTCATTGTAGTCATTGGTAGGTGCATAACATTGGATGACGTTCATTGTAATGTCCGCTTTATTTGTTCTGAAGGATGCTTTAATGATCCTGGGTCCATGAAATTCCCATCCTATCAGTGCCTTTTGTGCATGTTTGGACAGCATCAGTGCAACTCCTTGTGTATGTGAAGCATTTTCCTCTTCATGATCAGAGTATAACAGCAGTTCTTCTGAAGCTAGTCTCAGTTGTCCTACCTGTGTCCAATGCGTTTTACTGATGCCGAGCACCTCGAGGTTGTATCTTTTCATTTCTGCCGCAACTTGAAATAGTCTTCCAGTCTCCCACAATGTTCGAACGTTCCATGTACCTAAAAAATGGTTGCTCTGGTTGTCAGACGAGGCATCAGCCCCGTGACTTCCGAGGGAACTCGGCTTTCATCACGAGACGTCATAATTCTTTTTCCAACTCCCAGGGCAGAGTTAAAATGGTTTGAATTATTTTTTCTGATTAGCGTTCTTTTGGCAAGTTAGATTTCGACGGAGTGGGGTCGCCAACCCCATGTCCAACCCTCCTCCTTTACCCGGGCTTGGGACCGGCAGTAGCCCCGAAGGTTCTACTGGCGGAGTTATCAAGGATAATAATAATAATAATATTAATAATAATAATTTCTTGTAAGTGCAATAATCGTAATCATGAAATCGTTTGTTGCACATAGAAATGATAAGTCCATCACTGCTGGACCACCATTAAAAAACATGGAAGCACTGAACGGCCGTTTCGTCCTGGTATGGGACTCATTG